AAAACTGTTTACAGCCTGCAAAACAGATCACATGCCGAAAAAAACAAAAAAAATGATCAAAAAATGACAAATTTGAAAAAATCCGTGAAGAACACTGTGCAACCCGTGTTCTTCACGGACTCGCCGATTCCGCACAGTGAATCGGCGAGTCACTGTGCGGAATCGTCCGGTTCTCTCTAAAACCGGACGATTCTCGGTTTTTGAACAGATCCGGTACCATTTTCGTGAATTCCGAGTCGACTCGGCGATTTTTTAAACGCTGGTTCAAACAAATATGAAAATGACATATTCATTCTAAACTCTCTTTACTTTTAAATATTTTTTTAGTCCAAACAAATATGAAAATGACATGTTCATTCTAAACTCTTTATCACTTTATGTGATATATTCTTTTAAATTTTATTTTCTAATGTTCACTAGTCTCTCTAAATCTAACGAGAGAGAGACACTCGGGGAAGAGAGAGTGGGAAAATAAGTAGAGACAGATAATAAAAAATCACTTGGAGAGAGAAATGATGGTGTTTAAAAATAATGTTTTTTTTTTATTTATTTAAGATAAAAAAATAAGTTTAAAAGACATAAAGTTAGCTTAAAGGTCAAAAAGATATAAAATTTAAAATTTTTCATACCCAAAAACATGTTTTGCAGCCTTGAGTGATATAAAACTTAAAAAAAAACGAGGTGTATGGGGATAATTTTACGTTAATAAAACCTTCCCAAGTGGTCAATGAGTGACGGGTAGAAGTACACTATGTTCCCAAGGGAGTAAGATGCATACTATGAGGGTCCATGATATACAAACTCAATAAATAATAGGGAATTAATGTTAAAAAAAAATTATATAAGGGACCATGCTATACAAACTCAATAAATAATAGGGAATTAACGTTAAAAAAAAATTATATAAGATGGTCATCTCATATTGTAGAATTAATAGGCACCTCCAAAAATAAGTAACAAAAAGCTATTTTGACATTGAAAATCCATCTAATTGGCGATCTTAACATCTGGAAGCAAGGTGCAGCCGGAAAAATCGCCAGAATCTTCAGAGGGGGTGCCAAAGTTTCTAAGAGTTGTATCTTAGTCAGATTTTTTGCCGGAAAATTTTCCAGAATCTTCCAAGTAGGTCCTGGAATTGCTGTGCGCTGCGGGTAAGTTTTTTTTTGCCAAAATTTGATTTTTGGGGTGAATATTTGAATTGCAGTTGCCGAGGGTCTCTATTTTTGGGTCAGTTTTTTTTTTTTTCCCAAGATTTGGCTGGACTCTTTAAATGTAGTGTTGTTGAAGCGGGTGATGGTGCTTCACTTGTGATCACAGACTCTGTGTGTTTGAATGCCCACCATGTTTGTTACTACATCTGTGGATATCTCTTTTTCTCTCTCTAAGTTTCTCTCTTCTTTCTTTCTCTTTAAGGTTATTTCTAGAACAGCCTTTGTTGTTAAATTACTTGCTCTCTGTTCCTAATTCAAGCTCTATCTTCCTAATTCAATCAAACAGTCTTTGTTAGCCATCAAAAGACCAACCCAGAGGTCCTTGAGTGTTTTTGAGAATAGCGGTTTTCAGGCAAAAATGAGCAGCTTTAAGGTGGAAATGGTAACTTTCAGTCAAAACCTGGTAGGTTTGGGATAAAATTGGTGGTTTTAGAGTGAAATTCGACGTTTTTGAGGTGAATGGATCATGATCTGTGTGTTTTTTTGAGCATTGATATATATCTTTTAGCAGATTTTGGGGTGAAGAGGGAGAGGGAGATGGGTTCACGTGCCAAGAGAGCGAATGAGGAATGGTTTGTTCCCCAGATGTGGTTATTTTGTTATTGGGCGTATGATAACAAATATTGGCATGGTAGTAATTTAGACTGGTTAAAAAAGTTGAGGGGGAATATTGTCCAAATTTTGAAACTTTGAGGGGATCCATGGAGTTTCCGTAGGCCTGGGGGTTTCCTTGGAACTAGAAATACAAAGACGGGTCTGCGTCTTTTCCCCATAATTCAATTTCATTGAGGTCAGTAGCACTTGCCTGCTCTCTGTGAACTAGGACTAATTGTTAATTGAGAATCCAAAAAGAGAACAAATAAAACTTGGTTTGTTGGCTTTGGTCTCTACTCCCTAGGTTTATAAATTGCCAATTCAGTTGAGTATGGTGCTTCCTTTTCTTGGTTAATTATTGACTATGGTGTTCCCATCTCATAATATTGTTATCGGAAACATTTGGTTCCATGATAGCTGTATCAAATTTAATAGTGCGGTTCTAAGAACTCCAAGACACTGCCCATAGCTTGCTAGTTGCTAGAGTAAATTAGGCAACACTCTAGGAAATAAACTTTGGCTATAGATTGGTATTTGAGGCTTCTTATAATGTTTGGTGACTGATTATTTAACTTCTTTCTTTTTATTAGGATATTTGTTTTACTGATTATTTAACTTCTTTCTTTTTATTGGGATATTTGTTTTAAAATTTTAATTATTTTGGAACTTGTTTTGTTTAGGTAATCAAGGATGAGTAGTAAGGGGGAGGATATTGGAGGTTATGGTGCTTCTAAGGCTAAGAAGGCTCGACTTCAATCTATGTTAAATGCTCTTCTTGATGATCCAATTCTCAGAGATGTCCCTAAGGATCCAACCCTTAATGATGTTGATACCTTAATAAGCTTGGAAATGGGTAGTGCAATGAAGATAATTGTTGTCAAAATGGACAATACCTCCTTTGGTATGCTTTTAGTACTGTTAAAACTTTTTGCAAAATGTTGGGTTCAGCGAAGATAGTTCCATTGGTTCTAATTTTCTTTTCTTTTATGCGGTTTTCTTTAGGGTCATGTTGAAATTCCTGAAACATATGGGAAATTCTTTTGTTGAAACTTGTGGCTCATGGCTGGAATTAACTAGTATTCTATATTTATAGTTTTTTGATACTGAATGAACAGGTTGTAGCTGGACTGTGTTTATTATTAGTTTACCTTGTTTTTGATGTCACCTACTAGGGGTTGTAGTCCTTTTGTTATTCTTCTTATCTCATTTGTTTGTAACATTGAAACTTATGGAGTTAACAATAAAGTGTTTTTGACATTTTCCCCCTCAAAAGAAAAACAAAATGGGTTTTTGCCTTTCTGGTTCATTCGACCTTATACATTTCCTTCGATTGTGGAATTGATTGGCATACCCTTGTGAAGATGTTGCTGTTATGAACACTGCAACTCTTAAGGATTTGAAATTGGCAATTGTGAAGAAAACAAATGAGATGGAGCAAGGACAGATGGGTCATCGCCATATTTCCTGGTATGTATTATCTAACTTTGTCTTTGGCATTATTGTATCTGGTGGATCATGTTTGACTGGAGGTATAATTGTGCTTCTTTTAGTCTATTTTGTTATGTTTAGTGAGAAAAATGGGATTCAAACTCAAGGACATGTTGGAGTGTTGCAGTTCTTGGACCCTAACCACAATGCAAGATGCCAAACCTCTTCTTTTGTGTGGTCTCCTATATGAGTTCATTTGTACCTTGGACGATCATGTTGATGTGTTTCATTTGAACACTCACTACCTAGAGTGAAAATATCGATTTTTGTGCTTCTGTTAGTCCGTTTGGTTCGGCATGTGTTGAGTCTCCCCATTCAGCATAATCTGATTCCCACATAATTTGTTTGAACATTATATGAAGCTGCTTTAGTTCTGATATTTGGCTCAGACAACTCTCTGTCAACAGAAAGAAAGAATATTGGATCCTTTGGTATTAGGATATCGCCATATATTCGTAGAGGAGTCATTCATGCTAAAAAACTGAAGATTTGATTTGTTAAAATTGGGATATTGTTTTTGTAATCTTCTTTCTAGAGGACTTGGAGTTGATAAAATACTAGAATCCTTGAATGAATGAGATGAAAAATGGGAATGTCATGGTGGGAATCATGAGCATATTGTTACTGTTAAATTCCATGCATTTGAATTGAATGATTGTCATGATTGGTTATCAATAAGTGAAACTTATTAGATTATTTAATAAAATGTGGATGTTCTTATTTTTTCTTTCTCTGATCTTGAAGGAAAGTTGAGTTCCACTCGTGTTTAAACTTTTGAGGAGATGTTGATTTACGAATTGTGTATTAAAAAAAATAAAAAATTAATGTATTTGAACTTTTGAAGTCTTATGCCATTCATATACTTTTTATTTTATTTTGCATTATTTTCTTTTTATGAATCATTTACATCTTTTTTTTTTTTTTGCTGTGCTGGAGTTTTAAGCTGTTATATGCCCTAGTTTTCCCATTATGGGCCTTACCATGGTACTAGATTTTACATCACAATGTTGCAATGTGCCATTTCGTCTATAATGGATTGTATTGACGCACTGTATCATCATTTGCAGGAGACATGTCTGGTCAAATTTTTGCCTTTCTCATCACAACGAGAAACTCCTTGATGATAACAGCATTCTTCATGATTTTGGCGTTCGAAATAACTCTCAAGTAAAAGTTCAATCTTCCATTAAAATGATTTGCTTATCATGTTATTGTTGCATGAAGTTTTCCTTTATTTGGCTTCCATAAAAAGTTAATTCAGAATAATGTATCTTAAACTCTACCTTCAAATGCTGGTTCATTAGTGCTGAGGAACTTATTATAACTCGTTATAAGTGTTTATGTTGATTACGTCTTATTAGCGAGAATTAAGACCTTCAGTTCCTTTAGAGATCATCGCCTTCATCTTCTTGTACTTTGTGAAATTAGTTCAGAGGATTGTTCTCTCTATGCTAATGAATTTTACTAATTGACTAGCATGAATAATGTGTAGAATTTATTTTGTATCAGTTGTGTTGATCTTTGGATAGCTTTATGCTTAATATGGATCATGTTGTCACTTAGTAGTTCACCCAACTTTATTCGACTGTTTCCCCTAAAGTTTTCGATCTCTTCCTATTTCAGTATTCTTCAAAGAAGTATATAGTTATCATTTACCTCAAGCTAAATGAGCACTACTTTGCAAAAGCTCGAGTTTATGACCATTACATTGCAAAATTGTTTCAACATAAAGAACTAAGAACAACCATGGATGACCAACATAAGAGGCACTGTGTTGGATTCTTGTGGACATGCTTGCTTTTGTCATATGATCTACTGATTATGTTGGAAATAAAGGGGTCCTCAGATCATCATTTGAAAATTTAACTTATTAAATGTAGCATGGGCAACAAAAGTCCTTTGAGATGTGAGTGGCTGAGTTGGGAATGAGGGATGCTTAGTTGCTAGAAACGCTCATGGGAATGCTGGTGGGATTATATACATGGTAGCAAGAGTATGAAAGATTATTTTCCATTACGAATCACCTAGGGACCATCACTGGGTAAAACAATAGAGCCAACTAAGTAGAGATTCATGAACTAAAGTAGGGTTGGGAGTTTATGAGATGTGCAGAGAAAGTGATTAATTTGCAGATGGGAAATAACTCATACGCAATATGATGAATGCAGGTATCCAAGGACGCAATTATCTCTAAGCACAAAATATCTAAAACCCACCCCTTATCAATTTCCAATTTAGAAATACATTTGAGTCTTCCTATGTATTTTTAATCAATGCTTAACACTCCTCAAATGTCACGTAGATTCAAAATGATAATAGATGCAAACACATGCACACTCATGGATGCGTACAACTATGATGGAAGGGTGAGCCTCTGGTTTACTTGGGAATTCTGGTTGGTCAACCTAACTAGTGTGATGGGTCCTTATGCAAATTAGTACTGGAAAAGAGCCTAGTCCTGGAGGGATTGGAGGTAGTGACAGGGTCAATGGCATTGAACTTGGGGTAGACTGTGTGGAATGAAGCATGTTGATGTGGGGGTTGAGGAACTAAACTTCCTTAGGATTAAGGGAATTTGCTAGAGGCAAGGATTTTGAATGCTATTGTTGTGCGCAGAAGCTCTAAACCTGATGGGTTGATTTTTTGGCAAAAATAAAGTATGAAAAAAATAGAACAAGCGACAAGCAAATAAAGCAAGAAAAAATAATAGAGAACACAAAGATTTGCATGGTTCACCCCAGAAGGGCTACATTCACAGGCACGACAAACTGAAATCCACGATACCATTAGAGTTACCTCTCTAACCCTTGACAAAACCCAGTCGAGCAAACCCTTTTAAGCCATTTTCCCAACCGACATCACATGTTCTTCCTTCTCTTTATTTTTGGTAACCATTATCGACAACACCAGATAGAGACGCCAGAGCAACGAGAAACTGACTTCCTTTCCAACTAAAAAGAGAAACTACCCAAAATCTTAATGGGAACCGTTTCTCTACAAGAAACCAACCTCTCAATCTACATGAGGTACCATCGCAATGATTTTATACATAGGAAGCTCTTTAACAGGAGGCGTTTCCTCTCATGCATAGGAGGCCCTTGCCTGTCTCTCTAGAGGAAACCACTTTTCCCATATGGTGACCGAAATAGGGCACACATATTCTTTTATCTTTCATCCCATATATATAAATTTAGGAATCACACTAAATAGGAAACTTATTGTAGTTACATATATCTCAAAATCAAGAGATATACTCAAGAGTCCTAATCTTTTTGGATTTCTATTTCTTTTTGGAAATTTATCAATATCAATTTCAATCCCACATAATATAGGATTTTCTTATGTGGGTGATTTTGGATATCACCATATCCAATAATCTCCATTTTGATATCAAAATCACCTGCTCACCATGCCAACCTCCATTGGATAGCTTCATAAATTCTTCATCTTTTGTCAAATAAATTTCTTCGTCATTCTTGTTGAAAAATAGTGTTTGCCTTCAAATTTCTCCACCATGAACCTTGCATTTTAAATATTTACCACCATACTGGCAATTTCCAAACTAGGCTCTGATACCACTTGTTGTACGCAGAAGCTCTAAACCCGATGAGTTGATTTTTGGTAAATAAAGTTCGAGAAAAATAGAATCAGTAACAAACAAAAAAAGTAAAAGAAGAAAGAAATAACATAAAAGAACACCAAAATTTACGTGGTTCACACATATGTGACTACATCCATGGGCGAAGACGATCGATGTTTTCCACTAAATCAAAGAAAGAAAATTACATGACACTTACTTGAGAGAACTAGAGACACAAAACTCAATCTTCCACCAAGCCTTCTTCTATCTACAATTTTCTCTTTCTACATAACCCGAAATATTCATTTCTTTTCATGCACTTTCTCTCTCTACAAAATATCCCAATAGAAAGAGAAGAAAAACTCAAAGTGCACCCCACGTGATGACATATTTATTTTTTCCCTTAGTTTCTCTCTTTAGAATGCAATAGTATATAAAAAAGGAAGCCCAAAAAAAAGTAAGCATGTGAGATTTCATGTTAATCCTAACTTTATGGAATACCTACTTTATCCTTATCTTGTATAGACTCATGGCTTCATCCTAATCAAAGTATGGCTCACCCAAAAGATAAACGTCTTACATAATAGGAACTATCTAAAAAATAGGAAACCCAAATTAAAAGGAAACTAATCCAATAAAAAATAGAATCAAAACAATTATCAACGAATAAACCTTTACCAAGTTACGGTTCTTCCTCATGTGGAGTGAGCTCAATGACCTCCTCATGGTCAACATCTTCCTCCACTATTTCCTATATAATTTCTAGTACATATTTTTGAGTATCTTCTGGAGTTGTTAACTCCACCTCAACTGCATCTCTACTGCTACAATTTTTTTTTCTGCATCATTCTGAATGTACTTTAACATATCAGACTCATCAAACTTAACATCATAACTGATAATAAACCTAGGCGACTTAGGATATGGGTACTACATTCTACGACCTTTAACTCCATCCACATAACCAAGGAAAATACACTTCTTTGATCTGGGACTCAACTTATCATCCTTAACATGAACATAAGTAGCACAACAAAAAATTCTTAAATGAGAATAAGCAACTGGTTTACCGGACCATACATCTTGTGGTGTTTTGTAGTTGATTGTTGTAGATTGTGACTTGTTGACAAAGTAACATGTCGTATTGATCGCCTCTGCCCTGCCCAAAAGTCATTTGACAAACCAACATTACTCAACATACTGTGGGCTTTCTCTAGAATATATGGTAGTTATCGAGGCAGTGAAAGAAGCCATTTGGCTAAGAGGGCTTGTAAGTGATTTGAGCTTACAACAGGACTGTTATTTATTGCGATAATACATTTGATGAAAAACCAGGTGTATCATAGAAGGACGTAGCATATTGATGTTAGGTACCATTTTATCCGTGAGATAATAGCTGAAAGTGATATTTTATTACTGAAGATTGACACCGAGAAGAACGCTGTGGATATGTTGATAAAGCCGGTTCCATTACAAAAGTTCAACATATGCTTGGATTTGACTAATGTGTTGCCAATGTGAGCACCTATGGGGGCACTTGTGGAGAAGACAGTCGATGAGAATCTTTTTTTGGAATTCAAGCCAAGTTGGAGATTTGTCGATAATTGTCTTGATTTCATTTCTTATGGGATTAGTTTCTTTTTAATTTGGATTTCCTATTTTTTAGATAGTTATTTTTATTATGTAAGATGTTTATTTTTTGGGTGAGTCCTACTTTGACTAAGATGGAGCTATGAGTCCATACAAGATAAAGATAAAGTAAGTTTCCCATAAAGTTAGCATTAACATGGAATCTCACATATTTACTTTTTTTTGGGTTTCTTTTTCTATATAATATTGTATTCTAGAGAGAAAAACTAAGGGAAAACGTAAAGGGGCATCACGTGGGGTGCACTTTGGGTTTGTTTCTTCTCTCTCGATTGTGATATTTTATAGAGAGAGAAAGTGCATAGAAAGAAATAAATATTTTAAGTTATTTTGTAAAGAGATAAAATTGTAGAGAAAAGAAGGCTTGGTGGTAGATTGAGTTCTGTGTCTCTAGTTCTCTCAAGTAAGTGCTTTATACTTTTATTTCTTTGATTTAGTGGAAAACATCGATCATTTTCGACCGTGGATATGAAAGTTAGACTAGGTGATGTAGCACGATGTATATAATTTTTAATTTTTCTTTTTCACGCTGACTAGAACAATTACAATAAATTCAACTCATAACAAATAAATAAATAACCAAAAGTGGTTCTTACTTGCTGCCACTAATTACAACTTCTTTTTATTCAATGAATAAAACCAACACAATGCTTTTGGGAATAATAAAGTTTAAGAAATAAAATATTGTAAACCACAAAGCAAAGTGTCGGAAGATTACCTCAACCGGACTTAGTAAACCCCACACTGGGACTCCTTCCTCCAATGGTGCATGGGATCAATTGGACTTTCTCGGATCTTCAAAATATGGAAAAACACTGGCTCAACCCCATCACAAAGTATGAGAGCAAAAAGACTATCTTCTTCATGGCCTCAATAGATTAGAAATGAAGAGTGGGGAATGCCCACTTTTCTTGTTCTCTTATGGGGCTGTACCAACCTATCTCTCTTTTAAAGAGATGAGAAGTTGGAGAGAGAGAGAGAGAACTTCCAGAGGGTGGCGTGCCACCCCTATAGGAATATCAGAGAGAGGGAATTCTGGTGTAGAGAATGAGAGGTGGGGAGGCCCCTTTTTATAAATTTTTTCAGAAGATAGGGTTTCCTTGGGAATAAATACTTTTAAATTGATCGAGTCTAATTGATCTTAGGAGTCCTGTAGGGTGAGAGATCTGAGCCTTTTATTTCTAAGATCAGTCATCATGATTCAAAGGATGATGCAGAACCTTATCCTTTAGTTTTCGAAACCTTTATCCCATCAAAATACAAGATAAGTAAAATACTAAATACAACGTATCTGGTCAAAAACTTTTTTCTTGTTTATATCTCTTTTAGAGTTTCTAATTTCTTAGGACTCATAGAGAATATCTTTTTTTCAATTTTGAATTGCTCAAACATGATCTCAATATATTAAAACATATCTAGTTTTAATTTGCCTTGGTCAATATTCATTATTAAATCATATCTAAACACAATATGTAGAATCTCCACAAAATATGTGTTGCCCAAAATATGAGGCATGCAATCTTTAGCCTCCTATAAAAAATGGCGTGCCCAAGTTGGCTCCACAAAAAGTGGCGTGCTAACTTGGGGGCTCTGTGGTGGTCCGCACGTGACCCCTCTAAAAAAATAAGTTGATTTTTTAAAATGGTTTTGGATTTTTTAGAATATGTGAAATAAGGTTTATTTCTTCTCTGAATATCTAAATACTGAAAATTGAATCATTCTTAATTTTAAAAATTCATTTTACGAGACTAAAATATCCAAAGATAATTAAAAATTCAAACAATCATTATAAAAATCAAATATTATGAAAATAAATATAATCAAATATTTTGATGGGAATAGGATCCTTCTAAGTACGGGAACTTTTAATTTATTTTGAAACACTCCATCTTCTATTGTGGACTATAACCATGCTTGCTTTCTCAAATTAACCCAACAGTTCCCATGACACACAAACCACTGCAGGGGTTTATGATTGGGTTACTAAAGTTAGCCAATAGGCAATGGGACATAATCCCAGTCTATGGATTTCAGGTTTTCCTTAGAGACGAACCCATTTGTCACAAAAACCGGATGCAACCACAGCTCCATTGTGCATAAGGGTAGTCTCTCGCACATGTCCACGCTGCACCCTCAATGGTGTCTTGCTTTCCTGCCACGGCTATCATATGCACATGTCGTGTGATGGTTCAGTAATGGGGCTTTGACTCTCATCTCTAAAGGCCAACCATCACACATAAATGTCACATAGTCCCTTGGCTCACTCCCCTGGACAACTCCGACCTCATCATGGGATAACCCATGAACCCTCCTCGGCTCTTCAATTTATTTCATGCCCAGGTAATAAGGGTTTCGCAACTCGACTGGCCTAGCTCGTAAAGCCTAGTCAGAGTATCGACAAATAGCATTTGCCTATTTCGGTCTCTTTGGACTATATTCTCTTGGTCCCTTGGACCATACTCCCACTGGAGTTATTTGATCCACTATATTAGATATTGATTTCATGCTCTCATAAGGCCTTTAATGGCCACAAAAACCCTACAATAGTTACATTTGTGACGAACCACGTAAATTCTGGAGTTTTTTTTTTTTTGTTATTTATTTTTGTTTATGCTTGTTGCTGGTTCTATTTATCTTGTACTTTATTTGTCAAAAATCAACCTATCGGGTTTAGAGCTTTCACGCACAACAACTATAACGTCTGCAATCTGTGTTGCAAAATTTAATGAAGGTTTTCCTTTGAAAAGCAAGGCATATATTACATATAAGTAAACTAAACATTGAGTCTCCTTGAATAGTCAGCTGTGGTGAATTTTATTTTAGCCACTTATGCTGGTCAATTTCACAAAAAACTTTTTGAGGTGGAAAGTTTTCATGAAACCATGATAATTTGTTCATGAAAAACTATGGAGGGCAAGCTTATGTGGATGTCCACGTGCCACTTTATTTGGGTCGTCCGTTTATATGGATGGCTCAATCAAACAACACATGGGTTGTAATCCATATTTTAGCAATGTGTGGCACCCAATCCATTGGTTGAACTGGGTGTTAACTGGAATGGACGGTTAAGATGTCACAAACTTGTGAGAAGATATATAATCTTGACCTATGAATCCTTTTCCCAGTATTTGAAGACTCTCTATCTATTATTTATTGATGTTGAACGGGTTTGATGCAGATAAATTTTGTTCCTTATGTTTTGTCAAGGGAATCGCAGAAGCACTCTCAAAGGAAAAAGCACAGATTCTTTCATGGTCTCAGCAAGCGGCAATGACTTCCATATCTCTTGCCTTTGTTCCTTGGAAAGACTTCCAACACGATCAATGATCGATGATCATCCCAAATGGAATATCATTTACAGGAAGCTACATTTTACAGAGATCTTTTGTGAGATGATGTTCAATATCATTGCATGCGCTTCAAAATGCATGTCCACACCCATGCTTGTTCAGGTGTAGGCTTCCTTGGGTGTCAAAATAGTTTTATTTACTTTTTGAGTCCAATATCTCAGTGCTCGTTCATGTGTATTCCTAATTTCTTTGAATTTATATTCATTCCACCCCTTCATGGAAGTGGAGGTGCAACATACTGTCGCAGTGTGTGTTTTTGTTTCTTGCATTAGGAAAGGATTTCAGAGAGAAATTTAGCCAAGGTAGGAATCAGGCTCGTGCTTGAGTACTTAGCGGATGACATTTAGCAGTGATGCAATTTAAGTTTGATTCTTACTGCTGAACTACCAAAAAAAGAAAAAAAAAAAAGAACGATGAATTTAGCCCAAGTTTAACCCATGGGAATATTTGGTGTACATCCAAATTGCATTCTATAGTAAAAACTTACTGAAAATACTGAGAAATATGCCTTATATGCATCAATTTTACCTTGTGAAAACTCTGTTCACTTAGGAAGCTCCTTAGTTATTATGTTGGAAAATGTCTAAACTGCCCCAGTTTTGAGGTTCCGACCCCTAAACAAGAGACGGCATTGGTACTTTTGAGCCAAACGTCTTGAAATACTTTTGTTTATTCAAAGTTGCAATCTTAGAACATGTTTTTTTCATTGCTAGCTTTGGAACATGGAACAACCAAGGGTATTTACATCTTGAGTTATTTACTAAACTAAAAAAAACCTTTATGAACCTTTATGTATGCTGAGGTATAGAAGAACTGTACATGCTACTCTCTCTCAGTCGTATCTAAATGGACGGTCTGGATGTTTTCAATCATGATGTAACAAGTTAGCCTCTGGTCATCTAATATTTATGTGATGATTAAGGGCTTGTTTGGGTACATGGATTTTAAGACATGGATTTCTAATATCTTGAATTTTGTCAAAATCCATCGTTTGGATTGTTTAATGACTAGGATATTTAAAATCAGGAAAATGAAAATCATGGAAATAAGACTTATTTTTTCATGATTTCATTTCCACACCAAAACTTGTTTTTTTGCATTTTCAAGGCCTATGGATTTCACTCATTAGCTCCCTCAGCCCGAAACATAGGGAACGTTTGGTAGGTATGAAAATTTTAGAGAGAGAAAGTACCTAAATGATTTAAAGAGAGAAACTATCTCAAAATTTTTGTTTATAACTTTTGTACAAATCATCTGTACACAAAATTTGTGGTGTCTCCTCTTATTGGTGCACCTAAAAGAAATATAAAAGAAACTTGTATGGGTATTTTAGTTATTTTATTTTATATAAAATATTTATTTTTATAAAATTTTTAGGTATCCCTTTGAGACAAGGCTGCGTCCCAATTTTTGTCTCACTATTCTTTTTAGAGGTGACATTGTTCTTGAAGCCATCCCAACCGTCTATTTAGATGGGATGACCAATACAAGGTGGCATACATAGTTTTTTTATACCTAATAGCAAATAGAAACGTTTAAATTAAAAGCCTATGCGTTTTTTGCATTCTAATATTGGAACAAGAATTTTTAACGTTAAAAATGTCTTCCAAGTTCCAAACGAGAAAAAGCACGAGTGTTTTAGTCATTTTAGCCAAAATGACTTAATTAGGTCAAATGATTAAAATGTGTTACAAACTTGGAACAAATATCATTTGAGCATTTTTACAAAATTCTCAAGGAGGCACATCGTTGAAAGGATGTTTAGATATAACTACATAGTCAGTAAAATAGATTTAACAACTTTATTGACTCTTTGAAGTGGTTTGTCTATTATAATGATGTTTTGCCCGCACAAACTTCTTTTACACAGGAGAGGGTTGGATGTAGGAGAACATTGGGGGGGTTATGAGACAAGGTATTTCTTGGGGGTGAGGGTTACAATGTAAAATTTCAAAAATAAAATAAAATAGGAACAATTAACAATGGTTCTCGATCTTTTTTGTTGCATACATATTGGCTGAGGTACGGTTTGCTTGGAGTTCAACTTTAGGGATTATTATATTAGCTTTTGTCCATGGGATAAATATAATTGAGATAAAGATGTTGAGATGGATAAATGACAACACAAGAAAGGATAGAATTCAAAATGAATAGATACAAGAGAGCTTAGAGATAATTCCAATAGGCGATAAGATAAGGGAAAGTAGATATGTGGGTTGATTATGTGTGATGTTAACTTAATACAACACCAGTTAGGAAGAGCGACTAGTTCAAGTGGAAGGCTCTAAATCAGCAAAGGAAAAGCTCAAAATGACATAGATGGAAGTAGTAAGAAGAGATATAATGGACTTATTGTCTGACTAAAGGTATTACCTTTGATAGAGTAGAATGGCAAAATAAAATTCGTGTAGTTAACTTTAAATAGTTTAGATAAAGCTCGAATGATAATGATGATAAAATAAGCTTTTGTTCATATAATTGAGCTTTCGAGTTTTAAATTGGGAAAGTATAGACAATTTTTTTTAGCTGTCAAATGTGAAATTGAGTAGTTGAGAATAACCCATTGACTGCGTATAACATCAATGATCTTTCTATACAAAAGGTAACTATCTCATTGCATTCAATTCCTTTTAAGGTGTTTGTGATCTCTCTACACCAAAGATTAGTCTCATTGCATAAATCCTTTTTAAAGTCATACATGGGCAAACCTTATACATGGTCAAATCCAAGGTTCTCCAAACCATATCATCTAATCTGATTCTTTTGAGTGACTTCTAGGACATTGATAACATAATCTCCTCTTCATAGTAATTAAGTCTGAAGAAAGATTAAGTGGTCTTGTTGAAGAAATAAAACCCAAAACATTGGGGAAAATAATTTCACTAAAAAAATGAAAGGTGATTAGGAGAATCATGCTTGGGCTTAAGTGCATCATTCCTAACATTGAGCTACTAAAAAATAAAAAAAAACCCTGAGTGTTGAGTGTTGTGTTTGGTGATACCCATATTTTATTTTAGAGATTAGGGTAATATGAAAAATAAAAAATTACTTTTTTTTGGAAAGCAAAAAAGTGATATCTTTATAAGAGAGTGAAAAATGATATAACACCCATCATTTGAGGGTCACTCATTTGGGGATTATGGGAATGGATATCCAATATAAAGATAGGTCTCCAAGAGAAAGACATGGCCATTGAGAGAGACGGTATTTCTATAAATTTTAGGTTGATTAACTTCTACTTCTATAGAGAGAAAATCTTTTTATTGCTCTTAAGGTTATCTTCCAATAGCCGTATTGTGAAAGGAAAAATGATGTTGATCGATGGTGTTGCTCAATCAGAAGAACGAGTTTAAAAAAAAAGATCGGTGATGGTCTTTTATCGATGTTTAGAGATAAGTATTATCTCTTGTAACCCAAAACTGTAATCTTCATTTTGATAGTGGATTTCTAATTACCGAAACCGTAGATGTAGCCCTATGGAGTTGTGATGTGCTTTTTATATTTGCTTTATTTCTCGTACTTGATTTATAGTCGTATTCATCTACTTCGGATTTAATCAATCATGTACACGATCTTAAGTAGGATCTAGGTATTTGGGATTCCCAACTCTACAAGCTAGGGGTTTCGAAAACCCTACTGAGCTACTAAAAAAGAGAAAAGAAAAAAAAGAAATAGTTACATAGGAGTAAGCTCCACTAAGCTGCCCAAAAACAAAAAAACGGTGATAAAAGAGTAAGCTCTAGCAATGACTACCTTCTTGGTCCATTACTACTGAAGAGGCTGAACACTCGTGCCTACCTAAGAGTTCCTTCTAAAGCTCAAGACTTCACAACAGTCACCCATAAAAGAATTTTAATCAGGTCCTCTCATAATCTAACCCTGATTGTCAAATAAAAACACAACTAAATTCTAAAACAAGTAATATAATCTAAGTATAATAATTATATAAT